CTTCAAATACCTGTAGAATGATAGGTTTCTTTTTTGTGGGTGTAAAACACGTAAATACACCAGTTTGATTTTCGATACCTCACTAATATGAAGGCTTGGTTTGGTCTGATATTTCATTGGTGGTGGTGTCCAGGGTCACTGGTGAGGAGTGGAATTTTCCAAAACCACTCCATTTGGTCTTACCTGGACTACCTCCCCGATTAAATGTTTTGGGATCGTCTTTCTTTCCGATTCTGAGACTGGCTGGGAGGTATAAAATTGTCAACATAACTGCAAGCCTTTTTGCGTTGATTTATAATACGTCCCTAATTACACATGTCCACCAAAGCTGTTAACATAAAAGATAAACAAAAAAGACAGATTTGATACATGGATAATGTTTATTTGAATTTCTTCAGAAAAATGTACTTTCATAAAATCAACAAATCTATAGTATCTAACAGGTTTAAAATTCTCTGGACAGTTATTCAACCACTGTTTTTATGATAACATAGAAAAGTTTGCTAGTCTGGATGATAATTTTGAGCTCATATAAAGACCCATTATCTGTTCACACTGCGGTCAAATCTGAAATTAGATTTCTTAGTAGAAGAGTTTAATAATTCAATGAAAACTGATTTTGTTAACCCGCGTACATGTTGTATTATTTTGAAAAATCATATCTGCCGCTGCTGTTTGAATTACTACAATGGAATATTGGTTTACAGGGACTCAATATCAAAATTTGCAGAATAAACTTATTTATCACATTTTAATTCTGGTGATTATTTAGATATCCCGAAAATATTCTTGTTCGTATAGTCATTCTTTTCAAATGCCCTAGAACAGCATATAAAAGAGCCTCTGAAATCTAATGCTGGTAATTCTTCAAACACTACAGACATCTACATGTATGTGAGGCAGGTTCAAAGAACTTTTAAATAATATGTAGTTCCAACAATGAACAAGAATCAAAGAAACCTTAGCCATCAAGAAACTGAAACCAAAGCAAAATGTGCTAGTTTTAACAAACCAGTTACGTTTTGTGAGGTCGGCAAACAACAATAAAAATATACAGAAGTATTTAACGACCAAATTAAATTTTATATGATAAGTAGACAACAAGAGAATTATACTAGTGTTTAATGACATATACAAGTTTTATATAATCAGCAGGCTAGAACAAAATAAACAAGAAATAAAACAAACTTGTCTTATCATTCTAAAAATCTTCTTATGGTTACGTTTTACTCGGTCATATTTATAAATATCGTCTAAACAAAACCGATCTCAACTGTATAATGTACAGTATATAACTAGTACACACTTATATATGTGTGTGTGTCACATGATTTACCTAAGTTTAGACTAAATATAAGTTAATCAAATTGATAAACCTTACATTTAGCCTAAACATTTCTTTTAATTATTGTAATAATAAAATCTATAATTCAAACCTGTCAATAATGGTATTATACTTAGACTACCTTAATACATGGCCAGGTGGTTAGGGCGCTCGACTCGCAATTTGAGGGTCGCGGGTTCGAATCCCCGTCCCGCCCTTTTAGCCGTGGGGGCGTTATAATGTGACGGTCAATCCCACTATTTGTTGGTAAAAGAGTAGCCCAAGAGTTGGCGGTGGGTGGTGATGACTAGCTGCCTTCCCTCTAGTCTTACACTGCTAAATTAGGGACGGTTAGCGCAGATAGTCTTCGTGTAGCTTTGCACGAAATTCAAAAACAAACAAAACTTTAATACATCTGTTACTGTTAGAGTGTGAGTTGGCTCTGTGGTAGAGTTTTGGGTTTCAGAGTGGCAAGACGTGTTCCGTTTCGTGGGATGCCACAAAATAATATCCTCCTCATTTAGCTCGAAATTAAGGACGGTTGCAATTAGCCTTAGTAGTTTTGTCATACGTACAAATTAAACAAATACTTTACTGTTAACAGGTCCAACCATTTTAACAGGCTTGTTTTAGGTTTAAATCGATATATGAAGTACTAATCCAAAATTCTTTAAATATTTATAAGTCACCAAATTATTAAAGAAGTGTAAATATAAACTGTAAATACATAAGTAAGTTAAGAAAATTTATGAAAAAAATACACCGACAGAACTGATAGTTATTTACAAAGTACATAACTTATTCTGTATGTTCATACATGTATAATATACTAAAATTTGAAACATCGATAAAGAAACAACAAATGAAAAAACACGAAGAAAACAATAAAATGATTTATATTTCAAGGCAGCGCTCTGAATTAGATCAATAATTTCCAGAACAGCTTCTAACCACGCCGTACAACCGAACAGCTTCTAACCGCGCCGTACAACCGAAAAGTATTAACATTTTTTTTCTTCTTCAAAACAACACCGTATGGATATGTTTGGAAAAAAAAAGCATAATAAATATAAACAGTTTTACCTTTATGTTTTCATGATTTTTCTAGATTCAGTTGGGTATATCATTAGCTCTAGATATGTTGCTATTACAGAAAAACCACAACTCTGAAAAAAAAAATACAGTTGATTAATTACATGGTAACATTCTTTCTGGATGTTATGAAACCTGTACTGCAGAAAATGTGTCCGCGTGTTTTATAATTACAGGCTGTTACAAATACACACTAAAACACTTTAGCAAGGCGATAAAACGTATTCGTCTTTTGAATATTTCAATATATTTTATAGGGTGTGTTGTTTTTTCTGCGACTTACGTTTGAAGATATACTAATGTAGTGGACTAAGAAATCAGGCCGTGAAATATGACTAGCTGTTTTTTATTTTATTTTATTTGTTTTTGAGAATTAACACTTTTAAATAAAACTTAAAATCTAGGATTATAAGTTACTGTGCTATTAAAATGATGTTCATCAATAAATATTTGAAACGAAAATAGGTATTTATAAATGTGACATTGTAACATATTTAATTCTTAAGCTACTGAAGCACGGGATTTTTTTAAAACCACGAATCAAAGTAAAAGATTGAAATTGATTAGTTTACGTCATACAATTCTCATTAGTTCACAGACAGATTGATGCAATTTCTTGCCACTACTGTTTTACTTAATATATATGATCTAAGTTGTTGTTTGTTTAATGCAAAGCTACAAACCCAGGATTGCTAGTCTGTAAACTTACCGCTGACCAAACGCAGTACAGATTGTCTAAACTAAGAAGATGTGAAAGTCTTTTAGTCCTCAAGATGTGATATACGTTGTTATGTGCATGGTATTGGCGATGCAAGGTTGTTTTTAGGCTCAACAGTTATATATATATATTTATGTCCTTATATTATTTTTATATTGCTTTATCAACATCTCGAATTCCATCCATTGAAATAAGTTGGTTTTGTAGATATGTTTGAAGAGTTTTATCAGTTTTATCTAATATTTCGGAAACGAACGAATGTATTGTTTTTAACGTATTCAAATGTTGTCCCCTGGTGAGCCAGCGTCAAGTTTCCGAATTTAAAATACTAAATCCGGGGTCTGATTCCTGGCGCTGGACAAAGCACATTTAGTCCATTTACTAAAACAGAAGCATTGTAACATATTTAATTCTTAAGCTACTGAAGCACGAGATTTTTTAAAACCACGAATCAAGGTAAAAGATTGAAATTGATTAGTTTAAGCTAATGTTCTTAGATAGACAATCTATCTGACCAAACCTGTGGTGCGTACAGAAACTCCAGTTACAAAGGTTCAATTCGCTCTTCCCTTAATAATCCTGTTAATGAAGTAAGGGTTAAGAAAAGAAATTAAGTTAGACATGTAGAGCTCCAGACCCCTGTCTAACTTCTGCCAGCTACATTGCCGTGAGCAAAGAATTCCATATACGACTCCAATGATGTTGATGAACACCAGATAAAACTAATATTCATCTTCAATTAATACTGAGTAACAGCATCAACGTGACGTCCGTGTTTTTATATTCTACGCACTTAATATTATGTATTTAAGAAACCTTCTTTTGAATTCTTGAACCTGCTATAAACGCTGCTTGCTTGTTTAAGAGCAAAGTCTGTGTCCTCCGCGTAGAATCAAACCCCGGATTTTAGAGTTGTAAGTCCGTAAACTTACCGCTATCACCCCGGGGAACATTCATAAACATCTCTATACTCTTGGCATATATTTTTATGCATTAAATTTCTTTAAAATGAAGACAAATTATCGATTTCCTTTGAGACATTTTTATCATTGTTAATAATCAATGTATGAAGAATTTTTACCAAATACTATTCTATAACTTCTTTATCTTCATGTAGGTTGTTTCTACTATTTTAATTCGACAATAAATCCGATATTGTACAGTGTAATGTCGAATCGATTTCGAGTGGCTTTTAGAGAAAAGCTATGTATTGGCCGATCAAATGCTTTGTGTTTTTGTTGCTGTTGCTGTCATAGTAGGCTGGAGGGAGGAGGAGTCCAGAAAACTGGTGCGTACCGAAACTCCAGTTACAAAGGTTCAGTTCGCTCTTCCCTTAATAATCCTGTAAATGAAGTAAGGGTTAAGAAAAAGAATCGAGTTATACGTGTAGAGCTCCAGACACCTGTCGAACTTCTTCCAGCTACATTGCCGTGGACAAAGAATTCCATATACGACTCCAATGAAATTGATGAACACCAGGAACTACAGGAAGCGCTCCAAACTACCTCACCTTCTGATCCACTATCCATCTGCCCAGGTGATGAAGAAACAGGTAGATTCTTAGAGGACTGCAAGAAAAAGATCTTTATTGCAAGCAGAGCATCAGTGGTCGCTGTTGGGGAGCAAGATACAGCTCTCTGGCCTAGGCTTTTGGACGAAGACAGAGGCTGTATCGACTGTTCAAGCTGTAATAAACTGCTAAAACCAAAGCCGAGTCATCCAGTTGTAAACACTTCTACAATAAACGAAACCAACACTGCTGTAGACTCTCCCAGTATACCAACAGTACTAACTGAATTTGGAGTCTAACTCATTGTATCTGAAATGGATGTGCTATATTATTTGAACACGTAAATTCCAAAATGCTGGTATGCTTATAAAACTTTATTGTTCCAGTATTTCCATTCAAATACTTTTATTCTTGTTGGCTTGAGAAACTTCATTATAGTGAGTGAAGTAAATGAACAATAATTAAAATATTTTAGTGTACCAAATAAACCTATTTCTGTATATAAATGAACAATCTGAAGTTGAGAAAAGCCTACTATTATTGACTGTCAATATAAAAGAAAAAATAAACTTTAATTGTTAGTGTTATAACTTTTTTCCTGGGTTATTAAGAAATTGCTTTAAAGAAAATCATTTTAAGTATTTGTGTTACAGAGATTGATACATATGTTATAAAACGCATTTATTACTATGAAGCTTGTATAAATATTCCATTTACTCTCAAGCATACTGGCTCAGTGATAAGCCTGAAGATTTAGAACACTAAAATTCGGGGTTCGAATCCTAAAGATAGACCATTTAATAATATTGTGCTTAACCAAAAAAAAATAACAAAAACAAAAGTATACATAAGCCTGTTTTTGTTTTGTTTTTAAATACAGAAGATAGCGAAGTGTGCTCTAATATAAACAACTTACCAAAAAACTTAAATACAGAAGATAGCGAAGTGTGCTCTAATAAAAACAACTTACCAAAGAAACTTAAACACAGAAGATAGCGAAGTGTGCTCTAATATAAACAACTTACCAAAGAAACTTAAACACAGAAGATAGCGAAGTGTGCTCTAATATAAACAACTTACCAGAGAAACTTAAATACAAAAGATAGCGAAGTGTGCTCCAATATAAACAACTTACCAAAGAAACTCGTTTAACACATCGTCTGCGAATTGATGAGACTGAATTTGGGGGAGTGAGTGGACTACAGAGTGATGTCACTTTCAGATATCCAAATTCAAGCTAAAACAAAAATAATGTACTCCGATGATAACGGGCTCTCTTAACCTCAAAACCAAACTTTATTGCCAACAAGTACTCACCTCTCAGTAATGTTCGGCCACGAAGATATGGAGTTTAGGGGGTTGGCCAGACTAGGTTCCTATTGCACAAAATGTGTTCATGATTGGTCGAATAAAAAGCGCTTATGAATATCAGATCGTGATAGGTCTAAACAGAGATAAAACCTTTTATTTGTGTATATTACCCAATGCCGTACCAGTGATGTTGTCCTGGTGTACTACTACTACTATTGTTATTGCCACTACTACTACCACTACTGTCTCTGCTGCTACTCATGCTGCTATGCTACAACTACTGCTACTGCGGCTACTGGTATGTCATATTTCACACACAAGACTAACTCCTGCAGCTGACTTGGCGAGTATTTGTTTGCGGGTCTGAGCAGAAACTATCACAACAAAGACAATCATGACTGGATATGCCGCATTACTGTTTTTGCACACATTGGTGGTTCACGCATTGTTTTATGTACATGCTTTCAAATAGTGTGACAAAAATGCGCAAAACTCATTTCTTTCGCACACTTTTCTTCTCAACGGGAAGTCCGTCATGACTACAACCACACCTACCACACTTTAGGAAGGTAGCGCACTTAGCCACCTTACAGCGGTAGATAATCTTCGTTGAGACATCTTCAGCTATCTGTATCGTAAGAATTCGCGAAAACCGCGGAATGAACGGCTTTATAGAGTTGAAAAACAGATCTGGTATTGCGCAACATGTGTGGCTTCTACTACCGTGTTTTGTGTTGGCTTTTAGATGGGGCTGTGAGTTGTATTCCCTGAAAACCTTTAAACTAGCGCGTGATTGGTCATGCGTGTGGCCATTTCAGAATCCAGAAAACTCAAGGATGTCAAACCCCTATTTAAGATTTGTTTTTACAAAAGAGAGTACGGGTAAGTTTTGTTTGGATATCAACCACCAAAATGTTTCTCTGACACGTAGACTGAGTGTGAAACGAAATAGTATTAATTGGTTATGAAAAACCAATATCCTAATTAAAGTAGCTATCACAAATATTAACAAATCGTTCATATATAATTTTAAACAAATACGTAGGCTATTAGAATAATCATGATTTGTTCATCTTCATCTGGAAAAATATCCACATATATATAAAAGCCAAGTGACAGTCGATTACGATCGATTACTCCGAAGTTCGTGAGTTATACGAGTCTAATTCCACTATTTCTCCTATAATACTTCATCTTTTAATTGCCTGTTCCAATTTTAGTTTAATTTAGCCGCTAATAGAGGCGTAAATAGCTCCTAAATTTTGACACTTTTTATGCTAATAAAAGCCTGTCAAAGAGGGAGTTCCCAAAATCAGATCAGGCATGGCGTTATTTGTGTGACAGCACATCATCTACACCATTATGATGTCAAGCTAACTAGGATCCGAATTGGAAAGCCAGGATGACTCCTGGGAAAAAATTATCGCAAAGCTATGCTTGGGAATTATTACGAAGAAGCCTTTGATAAAAGAGACTGAAGATACCACTTATCTGTAAGGACAGCTTTTCCTCAGAAGAAGAACAGTCATCGTATGTTTTAATCGTTTACTCAAAGGCACCAATACGTGACTCGTTTGCTCAGTTATATGTAGTGGATTCAGGAGCAATATGTAGCATGTTCCTGGGAAAGGAACTTTCATATTTCTTTTCTTTCTTTCTTTTGTATTTTGCCAACTTTATACGGCATAGTTTTGGTTTCCAGTCATTTTTGACGGGTTTTTACGCTATTAGATTAATAAACAAGAAAGTATTAAGGAATATTTGTTTATATTTGATTTTTAATAAATTTATCATAGTGTATGAACGGTTATTAGGTCATAGAGATAAGCTAGTTCTATTTCAATACACACTGTCTTTGTATGTTGCTTTGTACGTTGAAACAGTTTGGTTGAAATGCACAGTACACGCAAAAAGGTTTTCCTACATTTTTTTATTCAAAGACTTAATACATTTGAAATTACATTTAAAACTTTTGCTGAATACGGTATCTGTTCTTTTTGTGAGCTGAACTATGTCAAGTCAACGATGTGACCTTTAGGGGTAAAGTAAAAAAAAAACCTAAGGAAAATTACTGTGAATCAGTCTCTTGTGTTGCACCATTACAGCAGGTGTGATTCTTGTGTTACACCATTACAGCAGGTGTGATATCCAACCTTTAACGAAGGAACTGAAAATTGTAATCAATTAGAATAGATAACCAAATCTATCGTATCATGTTTCTTTGATGGAAACACTTGACTAATAAATCAGTTTAAGTTTGTTGCTCAGTTCGAATGATGTAGCATGTTTTAAGTAACTTGCTTTTATCGTCCAACAAAAATTCTGAAATAAATATTTCTACGATTCTATAAAACAATTGGAACACCACTTGACTTTAAAAAACCTGAAACTAATTATTCTTAACAAGTAAAATGTTTATCCTTAAAAATTATTCTTTTACCAAGCTGTGTGTGTGAAATTACTCTTTTACCAAGCTTTTTGTGTGAAATTACTCTTTTAACAAGCTGTGTGTGTGAAATTACTTTTACCAAGCTGTGTGTGTGTGAAATTAATCTTTTACCGAGCTGTGTGTGTGAAATTACTCTTTTAACAAGCTGTGTGTGTGAAATTACTTTTACCAAGCTGCGTGTGTGTGAAATTACTCTTTTACCAAGCTGTGTGTGTGAAATTACTCTTTTACCGAGCTGTGTGTGTGAAATTACTCTTTTACCAAGCTGTGTGGGTGTGAAATTAATCTTTTACCGAGCTGTATGTGTGAAATTACTCTTTTACCAAGTTTTTGTGTGAAATTACTCTTTTACCGAGCTGTGTGTGTGAAATTACTCTTTTACCAAGCTGTGTGTGTGTGTGTGTGAAATTAATCTTTTACCGAGTTGTGTGTGTGAAATTACTCTTTTACCAAGCTGTGTGGGTGTGAAATTAATCTTTTACCGAGCTGTATGTGTGAAATTACTCTTTTACCAAGCTGTGTGTGAAATTAATCTTTTACCGAGCTGTGTGTGTGAAATTACTCTTTTACCAAGCTGTGTGTGTGAAATTACTTTTACCAAGCTGTGTGTGTAAAATTACTTTTTTACCAAGCTGTGTGTGTGAAATTACTCTTTAAATAAGTTGTATGTGCTATTTATTATACTATAGGGAATCCTATACTATATTATCTAAGTATAGTTGGGTGGGAAAGACATATGCATTTATGAGATTCTATAAAATCAGAATAATGACTGTTTTATTTCGAGAGTAAAGGGGTTTACCAAAACTACTCTAATGTGTTTATTCGTTTGTTCGTTGTAAAACACAAAGCTACACAATAAGCTACCTGTTCTCTGCCCACCACGGGTATCGAAACACGATTTTAGCGTTGTAAGCAAGCACTTACACTTGCCGCCGACTCTAGAGGGGGGGGGGAGAGACGCGTTCAACATTAATCTGGGTAAAAGTAAGTTGTTAATGCCTTACCTGAAACATTATCCTTATTAATTTTAAATAACAAAATTCTCTTTGAACTTAAATGTTGCAAGTTTAACAAGCCAGTAGAATATTAAAATATTAGTTACAAAATATCATCTAAATTCAAAGTTTTACCCTCGGTTATGAAATGTCATCTTATTCCATGGATTTTCTTTTTCTTTATTATTACTATTAATCATTTGTCAGGTAAACATTAATATGTATGAAGTCAACGTATTTTCCAAGCTGACTTTCTTGATGTTAATGGCTTTTTGACTAAAAGTCTCTGTGACTTATGCTATGGACGTGGAGGTATATTTCCTGTCCACCAATTGAATCTGGCTTATTCATGGAATAATTATTTTAGTGTTTTCTTCAATGTTGTATTCAGTTATTCACCAGTTTAGGAAGCTACAGTGTAAACATGGCAGGAAGTTTGTATAACTATTGGATATGTCAAGTATGGCATATAATAACTACGTTATCGACTATCGATTGCTGCTGGAAAAAAAAAAAGATCAATTTTTTTGTTCAAATGATATGTTATTTTCTAATGCTTAACCTTTTACCACCTAACGTTTCCATATGGTAGCCTGTAAGATTTTCTAGTGACAAACATATCTAAATTTAGAAAGATTCGTTATTGTGTTGCGGTATTTGAAATACAATGTTCCCGTATGGGGACCTCTCTGTAGCTTAAAAAATAATAAATAAATAAATTTATTTTCGAGGCTGGGAAATGTATTCTGAATTAATAAGCTATCTTCAATGACAGTAAT